GAGAAGATGAAAGATTGTGATAGATATATTTGATTAGTTATAAGTGTATTTGCATTTGTGTCCTCTTTTTTCACTCGATTGGTCTACTCGTTCTTTTGTGATTACGGTATTCAGACCATCTGCGCACATTGTCTTCTTCCTCAGTGCATAGATGTGGACGAGTCAGGCTGCTTGACTCTTGCGTGTTTTTACTTTAATTTGTCTGTGCTGTTTGTTGAGTGGTCCAGTGGAGCGCGTGGTGACAGATGATGTGAATTATTGATTGCAGCCTTCCTGTAGCTGAGTGTAGCAGGCCTTGTTCTCCTCCTCTCCCAGTCCCCACCCATCAGCCTCTCTCCGGCAGCACCACTCCACTCCGCCTGCCCTTTGCTCCTTCACCACCTGCAGACTGAGAGCTCTGGGGTTCAGAGAGAGAAAAAGAAAGCTGTTCACCAGATCCATGCCATTACATTTGATTCAGTCTGTTCTCTGCACCCTACCATACAGTTGTACCTAACCCTTTCAAATTGACACTGCTTTTGCACTAGTTTTATTTATTGTAAAATTTGTACAAAAATTGTAACAATGTAAAAAAAATGGGGGATTTGAAAGCTGTAAAGTACGATTAAATGCCAACCGACAGCTGACTAAATACAGTACATCAATTCTCAGACATCCCAAGACACAAGAAACGCTGATTCAAGATGTTCAATCGGTGAATACCTGTGCTGAACAATGGCAGTAATCTCCGACTGGGCTAACACACTGATCCAACAAAACCCAAAGAATGTGTCTGTTGCCATTTCTCAGCATCTGTCGGTGCAGTGTGAATTGGCCTTAAAGGGATAGTTTACCCAAAAATTTTAATTCTGTCATTAATTACTCAACCTAAGGTCATTCAAAACCCATAAGACCTTCTTTCATCTTCGGAACTCAAATTAAGATATTTTTGATGAAATTCGAGAGCTTTCCGACCCTCCATAGAAAGCAACGCAACTGAAATGTTCCCAAACCCAGAAACGTAATAAGGACATCTCATAGCTTTGTAAAATTGCGGTTGAATTACTGATGTCACATGGACTGTTTTACAGATGATTTTTGGGTCTTGGAGCATTTCAGTTAAGCAACTGACTTTAAGCAATGCTGCGGCCTATGCAGGGTCAGAGTGCTCTCGGATTTCATCAAAAATATCTTCATTTGTGTTCCGAAGATGAACGAAGGTCTCATGGGTTTGGAACGACATGAGGGTGAGTAATTATTTACAGAATTTTCATTTTTTGGGTGAACTATCCCTTTAATCGTTTTTGGTTTATGTATCCACAGATTATTTAGTTATACTAATATGCACATGGACACTATTATGTACACGTTTTCTATACAGGGACCCCTTTGCCACTTGAACATCTTGAACTCTTCACGCCTTGGACTCAACAAGATACTGGAGATAATCCTTAGTTGTCCATATTGATATGATAGCATCAGGCAATTGCTACAGATTTGTCAGCTACAGATTCATGCTGTGACTCTGCCATTCCACAACATCCCAAAGATGTTCTTCTTGGATTGTGATTTTGTGACAGGAAGCCAATGGAGTGCCCTGGACTCATTGGCTTGTTTATGAAACTAACTTGAGGTGATTTATGTTTTGTGACATGGGATATCATCCTACTAGAAGTAGCCATTAGAAAATGTGGTCATAAAGGGATGCATCCACCTCCAAACAGCAAGCCATACGGTCGGAATTTTCCCCTTAACTTCAGCCCTGTGGACATTGAAACAAGGTGGGACGAATCTGTGGATTCAGGTTGCTTATGCCAAATTCTTCCCCTACCATTTGTATGTTTGCAGAAATCAAGAATCATCAGACCATGCAACGAACTTCAAGTTTTCTACAGTCCAGTTTTAGTCAGCCCATGCCCAATTTAGTCTGTTTCCTGTTCTTGGCTGACAGGAGTTGAAGCTTGTGTGGATTTCTGTTGCTGTTGCCTATCCGCTTCAAGGTATGACATGTTGTGCTTTCAGAGATGTTTTGCTGTATACCGCTTGCTATAAAGCATGTTTGTCAGTTACTGTCATCTTCCTTTTAACTTGAGTCAACCTGGCCACTCTCCTCTGACCTCTCTTACTAATTACAAAGTCGTTTTCACCCACAAAACTGCCACTCACTAGATGTTTTATTATTATTATTATTACATTTATTATTATTATGGAGCTTTTTCCATAGACTTTAGAGCAAGGGTGTCCAATGCTGCTATGGAAGGGCCAGCTTATTGCAGGGTTTGGGATCAATCTGCTTTGACACATCAGCCTGTGTTGAAGCAGATCATTGCAAATCTAGAGATTGCTCCGATACGGTTGCAAATCCAAAGATTGCCAGTTTATATGATCTAAGATACTTACTTTGTCACTTAATTTTGACTTTGAGTTTGGTTTTAACAATAACTGAACCTCTTATCTATGTCTGCATATTTTATACACTGGGTTGTGGAACAATTTGCTTAGTTTTTTAGATATTTGCTTAACAAGTATGTTTACCTAGTTCACAGAAGCAAACTCTGGCACACTGCAGCTTATTCTAGCCAAGAACACCCCTACTTAGAAAGGAAAAGCTGTCTGACTGACATAAAGCAACCACTGTGTTATGTTTCAAATCTTTTAACTTAATTATGCAACAATAATAGAGACAAAACTCAAATAGTGGTGCCCCAACCTGCTGGAATGTTTATATTTGGTGTATCTTATGGTGTATCCATCAGCACTTCTTTGCATTTTAGCATGTCTTGCAGTGCATTTTGTTATTGTGGGAATGGAAATGCTTTGCTTCTTAATATAACCTCAAACTCGGGCTTAGCCACTGTCTAGGCCATTAGCAGGGACTGTTGCGTATTCTTATATAGAATGGTACCGCTGCTGTCACATGTGTCAGGGGCCACTTTTGGCCTGATGGATTGGAGCAATGGAGACCCATGAGTCGAGGTGATGGCATTCGTAGTAGCAGGCGGGGAAAAAAGAAACAATTACCTTGCTGCAAAAACTTTAAACCTCATCAATATTTCAGCTTGCTTCTCGTCATACAAGACTGTTGTTCCTCTCTGCTGGCTGAAAATACTTTCTTCCAGGCCTGCTCTTTACTTGGAGAGCCTTCAGCTCCTGTGCCACAACCGGCTCTAGACAAGAGGGCAGCGGAGTGAAAAGTGGCCATACTCATTGAGTAGTCTCTCCTCATAGCACCCCCATCTCCCCTGCTCAGGTCCCCCATCACACCACCACACATCACAGAAAAGCTCCTCATTTTGGTGATGATTAGCTTATTATTAATTCATGAGGCCATTCAGCTGTATGGTTGCCCCTTTCCTATCCACAGACCCCTTCTGCCCATTCCTCCCCACCTTGGTCAAACCATCTAGTAACCCACCCCACACACACACAGTTCCACCTTTTTGAGCTCTGAGGCGCATTGATTTCTCCATTAAGCAGCACTCTGAAGCCACTCCGTCCCCCCGTGGATTCTGGTCTCCCTTCCTCCTCTTTGACTCACCCTCGGACAGACTTCTGGGAGCAGCCGAGAGACAAAATTGCTGTCAAAACTCTGATTCACATCACATCTCCAAGTGCTCCACAAATGATCCATGCGGAGCACTATATAGACATGGGCTATCATCTATAGTGCCTCCTGCTGGATAGGTGTGAAACCCGGGTATTGTAGGCTGGATTTCTACAATTACTAGGATGTGTTGGAACTGGTTTGGAGCTAGGACTTCCAGGACAATGTCCTCCAGGAGCAGGGTTTGATAGCTAACACTTATGCTTTGTATTATATGCCCAAAATGTGATTTTTTTATGGTGGGGGAATGTTTGCTGCAGGTGGCTATTTTTCACTTTAAGACTATCTGTTATGATCTTTAAAAGTATATGGGTTGTATCATAACACTTAAAATAGATTATTGCTGGGTGGATTGAAGCAGGCAGAAAAGTGACCATAAACACCAATGAAGCTCAAGTAACAATTTATTACCTGAAGCCGAAGCCACAAGAAGAAGGCTGTGTGATGCACTATTTACAGTTTGCTTTATAATAATAATAGTAAAGAAAATTAACAACAATGGAAGTAACGAAGGTTAACAAAAACAATATAGGGGGAAAAAAGGAACTTCAAATCAAAGAAACCAATAAAACCAAATGATTCCCATACAGCTCCCCAAGTCCTCTAGCCTAACTAACAAAAGAAAATGTAGAAAAGAAACCGAAGTCTTCAGTGTAACGACGATCTAAATATCCTACTCATATCACTAAATAAAAACCAAATTACAGGGAGGTGCGCACACCGCTTTCCTAATGTGTCTAGACACTCATTGTTACTACGTGCAAAGTGTATATCGTGCGATATGCTTACCTGTTCCTTTTTCCCTAATCAAGGAATAAATGAACCGTACCTCCAAATACACAGCAAATGCTAGACACACAGAATTAAAGCGTAAGATACCAAAACTAATCTCAGCAAACCAAAACACACACAAACACACCGCCGCCCCACGGGGTTCGCGGGAGGACCTTTTAAACCGGCAGGGCAACAGCGGATTGGGCGCAGAGGGTGACGTCACAATTATGACTGGCAGCCGACAGGTCCAATCAGGAACCTAAGAGCGAGGCAGCAGAAAAAAAAAGACGAGAGGGTGGGTGGGAAGGAAGAAACACATATGCATAGCACGTAACACTATCTCTGAGGCCTAACACTACTTCTTAATTTCACAGATAAATTCTTCTTCCTGCAAACAAGAGAAAATATGTCAATAACAACGTTAACACTTCAAACTATACCCACCTTTGCCTTCAAACAGGAGTCGTAGCGTCAATACGTTTTTTATTGTATTTATATTGGGCTATGTGTGGTGAGAGCTGTGTGAATAAAATTGCTGATTTAGCATGAAATGTGCTCTGCATGTTCTTTTGAGTGAAACCCAGGGCCACAGGCCTGATGGATTTTTGCTGAACCATGTTTTCAACATGCAGAACCTGTGGGCCTGCAATATTGTATCGGAGCATGGCTCTAATGGTGGCAAAGGGAAAGTGCAATACTGAATCTATGCTGTAGGAAAATCAATATGGATCTACCGTATGGGTTTAGGTAAGAAGAAAAATTCTCAGACATGCATCCCAGTGAAATATTATTTCTCCTCCCTCCTCTTTTTTTTTCCTGTTAGAGTGATCATAAAATTGTGTGCCCTCTTTACAGTATCGATCAGTCAATAAAGGACTTCACTGACCAAATGGTGAGTACATTATCAGGTCATAAGTACACCTTAGTAGAAATAAAAGCTTTCCTCACTGTGCTAGGAGGGTGGGTGTAAATGCCATTTTGGAAGTCCAGATCAGGGACATACTGTATTCTGTAACTTCCCATATGATTCATGCAGAAGGACTAAGCATTAAAAGCCTCCTGGCATAGGGTGTAAATCATCAAAAATTAAAATCTATTTTAAGTGTCCACCTTTGACTTGCCATCATTTACGCTTAATGTGTTTTAGTATTCTGTCATATGATTTGCATCAAGAAAAGAATTGCAGTGCTTAACGAGTCCTTTTCTCTCATATACTTTTAAAAGAATATAAATTAACAGTATTTGTGGCATAATTTCGATAACAACTCTATATATATATATATATATATATATATATACAGTGGGTACGGAAAGTATTCAGACCCCCTTAAATTTTTCACTCTTTGTTATATTGCAGCCATTTGCTAAAAAAATAATGGAAATACAAAAATCATGTAGTCTCCCATTCATCACTATAGATCTTTACCCCTACTATGATGAAATGTGAATAAGGTCCGCTGTAAGTGCCACAACAAAGAGCTTAGCTCTTAAATATTCATACAGTTGGTTTGATTGTTTTTCAGATTAAATGATGTGGAAACCACGTCTAATGTGAGTAAATAAGGCAACATCCATTTATTTCCTGCCATTTCACATATCATTGATCCTTCCTTGGATGTACATTCATTAACATGCATAATTAAATTTTCTCCAGAATATGACGCCACTCAAGGGGATATGATTTAAAAAGCAAATGACTGAGTGATGTGCAACTGATCGCAAGGTCATCATGGGCTATCATTGTGAAGTTCAGGTAAGCAAAAGGGCCCTTCACTCCAACTGAGACCCCTGGATGTCTCATTTTCTCGGGTTAAGTTAGCGGTTGAGCAGGAGGAGGTTGTGTTCTACTTTGAGGAGGTGCTTATTTACATGGCTGACACACTGGGATCACCTTCAAAGTGGCTCGTAATGAGATGGGACAACTTGAGGAGGGAGGCCGGCCGCTGCATGTGGTGCAGGGGACAAACGGGGAATGCACTGAATTATAAATGAGTTTTCTGCACAAGAAATGTGACAGTTAGCTTTAATTCCCCATTTAGCCGGAATAGGCTTAGACAAGATTGTGCTAACTAATCAATAGAGCCCCGCCACAAATGTTCTCGGTGCTCTTCTAGTCCTCAGACAGGCCAAGACTCGGATGCAATGAACGCTACCCAGCTCTGATTTGCCTTTGTGTAACTCTGTATGGGCATGACTTTTATGTATTTATGGATCTGTAAGCACTTTACACCATGAATATGGATTTTTCAGATCAGATCTCACTGAAGGAATTTCCCCTGGTCCGCGCTGAAACTGAACTTTACCTGATCCTGATCTTGGTCATATTAATATATATATATATATATACAGTGGGTACGGAAAGTATTCAGACCCCCTTAAATTTTTCACTCTTTGTTATATTGCAAAATATATATTGAGCACAGTGGCCTCCATAATCCTTAAATGGAAGACGTTTGGGACGACCAGAACCCTTCCTAGAGCTGGCCGTCCGGCCAAACTGAGCTATCGGGGGAGAAGAGCCTTGGTGAGAGAGGTAAAGAAGAACCCAAAGATCACTGTGGCTGAGCTTGTATGTATATACATGTATGTATATACAGGTGCATCTCAATAAATTATAATGTCATGGAAAAGTTCATTTATTTCAGTACTTCAACTCAAATTTATGAATCTAGTGTATTAAATAAATTCAGTGCACACAGACTGAAGTAGTTTAAGTCTTTGGTTCTTTTAATTGTGATGATTTTGGCTCACATTTAACAAAAACCCACCAATTCACTATCTCAACAAATTTGAATACTTCATAAGACCAATAAAAAAAAACATTTTTAGTGAATTGTTGGCCTTCTGGAAAGTATGTTAATTTACTGTACATGTACTCAATACTTGGCAGGGGCTCCTTTTGCTTTAATTACTGCCTCAATTCGGCGTGGCATGGAGGTGATCAGTTTGTGGCACTGCTGAGGTAGTATGGAAGCCCAGGTTTCTTTGGCAGTGGATCTGCATTATTTGGTCTGCATTATTTGGTCTCTTGTTTCTCATTTTCCTCTTGACAATACCGCATAGATTCTCTATTGGGTTCAGGTCTGGTGAGTTTGCTGGCCAGTCAAGCACACCAACACCATGGTCATTTAACCAACTTTTGGTGCTTTTGGCAGTGTGGGCAGGTGCCAGATCCTGCTGGAAAATGAAATCAGCATCTTCAAAAAGCTGCTCAGCAGAAGGAAGCATAAAAGGCTCCAAAATTTCTTGGTAAACGGGTGCAGTGACGTTGGTTTTCAAAAAACAAAATGGACCAACACCAGCAGATGACATTGCACTCCAAATCATCACAGACTGTGGAAACTCAACTCTGGACTTCAAGCAACTTGGGCTATGAGCATCTCCACCCTTCCTCTAGACTCTAGGACCTTGGTTTCCAAATGAAATACAAAACTTGCTCTCATCTGAAAAGAGGACTTTGGACCACGCCCCACTGTATATGCGTGTATATATATACACGTGTATATATATATGTATATATATATATATATATATATATATATATGTGTATATATACGTGTATATATATATGTATACATACATACATACATACATATATATATATATATATATATGTACATTGGAACCAAAGTACCGTTATGACAAATCAGTCACTTTGTAGCCGTCTTGTAATGCTCCTAGGTAGCTGTTTTCTATAGATATAGGCTACAGCTCCTATCTACTTAAATGGAGAAAGATCAAAATCTTCAAAACTGCTTTTAAATATTATATTTCAATAATCTATGTGAAATCAGCAATAATATCTAGCAATGGTATTATTATAAAATTATTTTTCTCATTCATTTTCCTCTCTGTCTCCTCCCTTATATCCTTTATTCATTGTATTTACATAATAGTACTGCTAGAGCTTGCCCTTATTTCTAAATGTGTACAAAAATAGTGCTGACAAATGTTTTAAAATTGATACAAAACTTTCAATTTATACAATAAGAATAAGGCATGTTCAGTGTAAATCACCCAATCTTAATCTTTTAAAGAAACCATTGTTTTTAGCTGTAAGATAATGGGTTCCCAGTACAGCACTGATTAGCTCATGTTTTAAGTACTGAAAAGTGTATAAATGTTGCAACGCTGTTTTTAAACTTAAACTAATCAACAATAAATCTAAAACCACAGCAATGTTCTACAGTGCAATATATAATGGCCAGTAGCACCAGTGCTCACTTGTAAAATGTTAAGAGGCCTACAGTATATTGCTTTGTTTATCAGCCAATTTATTTTTCTTATGACTAACCATTTTAAAAATAATAATAATAAAATAGAAAATAAAAATTGTAAAAAGTGAGAAACTTTCATGAGAAAGGGGTCCAAATACATTCCAGATATAATGCTGAAAATATATGTCATGGTAGTGGACATAATTGTTCAACTAAAAGCCTTTGTTATATAACATAACTGAAAACACAGAACTGGAAATGTAGTTGTTGTGAAATGCCTCAAACAAAACCTACTTTCAAAGAGTGATTGCACTATATCTTAGTATAGTACACTTAGTACACTTAGCAAATCCAGTGATTGATTAGTCCTCAAAAGAGTTTGTCATCTTTGAACTTTGTAAACACTGTTTCCAGGCAGATTGATCTGGGAGTTGTGTATCACATATTGTAGTTTAGTGGTCCTGTCTTGGTTAGACTAGTGTACAATTTCAGTATCAGTAGAGGTTCAGTCATTGGCTGCTTAATGTGCTTTTTTGTGGAATTCAAATTTTTTTAAATGCAAAGACATCTTGGTAATTGTTCTGATTCTTTCTAGAAATACTTGAAATCAGGTCCATTTTAGTAAAGTGTAAAGGGGCCAAACATCCTTCATAGTGAAACATGCAAAGCTTTTCTCTGACCTTGGCTTCATCAGTTGGGATTGTGGGTTGTGTAGCTGTAGTGGAGGGAAAAACTTCATCAAATCTCCAATGACTTGTGTTAAATTCAAATGTGCTCCTACAAGCACAAGAGATGAAGCAGACTGCCATTCACAGGGCTGAGTGATACGGCACCCAGCACTCTGACAGGACGGCAATCGATCCCTGCAAACCTTGTCTTTATAAAAGGCATATGAGAAAAAAAAGGGGGGGGAAAAAAGCTCTAATAAACATCTCTTTAACTTGGCTTGCTCACAACAAAGCTACTCTTTCTGTCAGCCAGAGCTGCCTCAGAAAAAAAGATGCACATGTGATCAATTATGGATGCGCTGTCTCCTACCCCTGGAGTTGGCGAACACATTAGGTAATGCAGGAGCTCAATTTAACTAGATGGGCTTGTTAATGTGTCCCGCTGGGAAAGGCCTCCGGTTCCTTTTGAGTTTCCTCTTGAACGGGGAGGGAAAATAATGTTTGGAGATGGTAGATGAGAGAACACTTGGAGTTGGTACAGCGTCCCAAAGAGAGGGCCACCCTTCTACGCTCAAGTCAAGGACGCACGAGTGGGCATCGGGTATAAACAGTATCAAGGACATCGGTTGTGTTCTAGGAACCGTCTGCTGATTAGACTTTAGCTCTTTTATTCATCGGAGGTTTAAATTAATGATGCCCATGTTCTAGTTTTTAACTTCTGGTGGTTTTAAAATGTTGTCAAGTGTGTGGTTCCATTTATTCATTGTTTCACTTGAACTTTTAAAAAGCAAGGAGAGACCGCAAGGCTTAGTAATGATGCAATATGTGTTCTTATCCATTATGATATATTAAACAAACAAGACTGGAATGTCATTTTTGTTTGTCCACGTTCAAGAGGAACCCAAAACCTATTATTTGTCATTTCTGGAACATTTGCTTTGCACTAAATTGAGGTTTAACTCAAGGTAGTGACCCAGACACATGCAGATGCAGCCCTTGCCGAGAAAAGTATGATCTTTCTCCTGTCCTCTGAACTCCATGATTGGCCTTTGTAGAGAATCTAAAAGGACCTCAATTAGTGGGCTGAGAAAGCGCCTGATGGAATGAGAGTGCGGTCTGTGAACTCGCTCTGCATGCGTCCGCTAATGCAGGCTCCGGTTTGGGTCCGTGCTCTCATCTCTAATGTGAGCCGCGTTGCTCTTTGAGTGACATGCCATATGCAAAAAATGAGACCAGGCTGGTCCAGGCTTTTTAATGTGACCAGTTCCTTGGGACCGGGATCTGAGTGGTAATTGCAGACTGACGGAGGGGAGGTGGCAGGTGTGACTGTCAGCTCTAATCAAGCCCTCGTGCCCAAAACCCATGATCCTTCAGGAGCAGGGAAAAAAGAGTGAAAATAGAGCGCTCACTTTCCACCGCCACATCCATTTCCTCTCACCCCTCCTGCGCTCGTCCCCCGACTCTGTTTTCACCTTTCTCTTCTCTACCTTAGCCTGTGCTCTTTCACCCTTTCCACACCTGTCGACTCGATTATGGAAATTAGCATTTGTGACGGAGCTCTAAAAGGCAGATTAGCAAGAGGAAAGGCTTTTTATTGTGACATGGCTATTCCATTGGGGGACCAGAGGGTGGAATTTGCACATCATTTGGAGGGGGGGGGGCCTTATGTTTCCTTAGTCTGGTTGGGAAGAGATGTAGAGTGTTTTTTTAAGGGGATGGGGTATGGGTGCACGACAGGACGTCCCGTTGAAGGAGTCTTGCTATATCAGTAGCCTATTCCAGATCAGAGCATACATTGTTTTAATACAATATCACATGTAATATTAGTCTTTGACTTCCATAATC